GCTCTGGGTCCAGCCCTACTCCGCCCCCCACTTCCACCACTATGGGTCAGGCCCCAGTCCAGACTCCTCCACTGCTATTCTGGGTCCAGCCCCACTCTCCCCGCTCCTCCTCTGCTCTGGGCCTGGTCCTACTCTCCCCCACCCTCCCGCTGCTCTGGGTCTGGCCCTGCTCCATCCCTCCCCTCCACCTGCCTCCCCTCCCCTCCCCACTCCCCTTCTGCCCTCCACTTCTCTCTTCCTGCCGGCTGTTCTGGGGGGCATCGGGGCCAGGCAGCAGGGGTGGGGGGACCCTCAGGAGAAGCCCCGCTGCTCAGGCAGCTGGGGAATGTTTTTCACCACCACAAACTTCCCCAGCAGTGGCACAAACTTGCATGCGCAATTGTCCAGAAGTGTTATGGATAGACAGAAAGACAGACTAAGCCTTTTATTACATTGGAATGCACACATCTGTTGATAGATAGATAGATACACACCCCTATGTATCTATAGACACATCAAGCTATAGATAGGTGTCTTTCTGTGCATATATTTTTGAGTTTCCTGCATTTTGGGAAACTCACTGGAGTCAGTGCGCCCAGAACACAAAGGACAGGACTCACCCTAGGAAAAGCACTTATATACGAGTCCTGTTCTTTGTGTTCTGGGCACACTCACAGGAGTCAGTTTCCCAAAATGCAGGAAACTCAACTGCATAATGTTGTAGCAATGGGGAACTGCTTTCTTGCTTCCTCCCCAACTTCCTCCCTGGCCTTTTGGCTAAGAACAAGCAAGACAAGAAGGCACCTCAACCCCAGGGTCCCTGGACCCCAGGATTGGTTGTAGGATGTCTGTCACAGATCCAGGGGAGTACCTGAAGCCCCAGACTGATGAGTCTAGGCAGATGGATACTTGTACAATTGGTAGAGCCACACAAACTTGAACAATTGAGCCCTGCTCAGTCAAAACCTGGAACTTGACTATTGGATTTTCCCAGTAGAATTCAGAACTAGTATGACCCTTGAGACTTGAGTCAACCGCCCCCCAAACAAACCTGTGACCAGGGAACCAGGGCAGCCACCAGGTAGGCCACTGGTAGGCTGCTGTGCTCCCCCTCCCCAGGTAGGGCATGGGAGTGTCTACACTGGCCTGGGTAGCCTCATGCACCCAGGTGGTTTAACGAGCAGCAGAAGCTGGCAGCCTGTGTACACAAGCACCTGCCCCATGGAGCTGCCCTGGTGCTGCAGCAGTGCTGGGGAGGCTGAAGAGGTGCCTGGCAGGGACAGACCTGCAGGGACAGGGCTGGGGTGTCACCAGGCAGCTGGACTCCCTGTCCCTATACACCCCAAGGTGTGATGGACCCAGGCTGGCCAAGAAGCGTGCATGGCCAGGGAGCAGCTGCAGCACCTACCTGTGATTGCTGTAGAGGAGGTGGCAGCAAGACCAGTGTCTGCTCCCCAGGGAAGAGGATCTGCTCCACCCCAGGGATGGCAGCGACTCTGCAGGCACCACAGGAAGAACTGGTCTCTTGGGCACTAGTTGGTCTTGGGGTAGCTCGCTGCTCACACCTGCTGTGTAACAGGGTGGCCTCCTTGTCAGGTCTCCACCAGCCACCCTGCTCCTGGGGTAACCACCTGCTTTGCTCTCCTGCCACACCTTGATGGAAAAAGTGAGAGTTGTTTCTAAGGCAGGAGACCTACCCATTACTCGCCCTGCTGACAACACCCTAATACCCACTCCAACCTCCACTCCACAGACCCCAGGCCTTGCAGGTGTCTCTCACTGGGGTCCCATTTACTCTGCTGGCTCTCACCCAGCCTCTTACATACTACCCTTTCTCAGGGCCACACTCATCCCACCCGGCCTCATCTCGCTTCAGGATTAGCTCTCCTCTCCTCAGTCAGCCCTGACAGTCTGTTGGGAGTCTCCCGCTACCCTCATCTGAGTGTTGACTGAGCGATTTTATGACCATAGGCCTATTTTGCTCCTGGCCCCTCGCTGGGCCACTATGTCTCCATTGGGCCTCCTCACTACCCGACACTCATGGGGCCACTCTGTTTGTCGCCCCTCTCACTCAGGGTCTCTCTAATCATCACCTCTCTCACTCAGGGTCTCTCTTGCACCCCCAGGCTTTCATCTTCCACCTGGGCACAGCCCCAGGTCCCTCCTCCAGCCTAAGCTCTGCCTCAGGGCTCCTTAATGAGCCCCGGGCTCCCCTTGCTCATCAGAACACCACCAGGAATGTAGGGCTGGGGTTATCAAGGCACCTCAACCCGCCTTTCACTGGGGAGGTAACTGGCCTGGCATTTCCTGGGGGCTCCCATGCCACTAGGAGCCCCACCAGACCACCCTTCCCTGGCAGGGTGAATTTTTTCATCTTACCCAGGACAAGGGGTCACCTCCACCCCATAGCCCCTGCCCTTAACTCCTAATCCTAGTCAGAACAGCTTCCCATCCTAATGTTACCTCCTTTCTCCTGCAGCAAACTGCAGACCAGCTTATATCCCTGGGTCCAAACTGGCTGCCCTCATCAGGCACCTGGAGGCTACCTGTTTCCTGCACTGAGCTCTCAGTACCCATCCCCCAGCAGAGGGAAATCCTATCCAACAGAGCTGGCTGCACTCACTAGGCATTGTATGAGCCACAGCTCTGTTCTGGGGCTGTCACCAGCTCCTTGCTGAGCTCCACGGGGCATTCAGTCTGACTAAACTCCTGTCACATTGCGCCTGCTGCAGCCTGGGCTGGGGCCGAACCAGAGGCCATGGGGAGGGGAAGTGCAATGGGCTCCACACAGCCACTTAAATGTGCCAGCACAGACCGCGCTGCAGGACGTCAACGCGGCAGAGACGGTGGCTGGAGGAAGGCCCACTTTGAGGTGAGGTCCCTGCTCACACTGCCTGGGCTGAACCTGGCCCCAGGATGCCCCTCTCGCCTGGCCGTCCTCTCTTTCACTCCATCCCCTGGAGCAGGGCAGGTGTTTTCACACCCAGGATCCCTGGCCCAGGCCCAGGCCCGCGGGCATCGCTGCGAGACAGGGCAGGCAGGGGCACCCCCCACACCCACCCTGCTGGCAGGGACCAGGGCAGGGCAGCAAAGAAGCAAAATCCTCTGTGGTCCTGTCTGCCTGGTCTTGTCACGGGGAAGGGGCTGGAGAATCGCACCCACATTCATACAGAAACAGCCAATCTTGGACTAGGGTTGGTTAGGGTGGCAAGGAGCCAGGGCCAGTGCCTGGGGCCCCTCTACATTAACTCAGCACTACTCACCTGGGTTGTCTGCCTCTCTAGTGCCAGAGGGGCTCCGTGTCTCTCTCCAGGGCTGTTTCCCAACAGGGCTGCTCCCGTGGGGCTGTGCCCGTCGCTGAGGGTCCCGTGCTTGCTCCAGACAGTGGGGCCTGGACCAGGGGCCCTGGGAATCCAGCCCTGGTTGCTTTATTCATTTAACTTTACTTTCAGAAAGGCTGACTCCCCCTCCTGCTACTCCCAGCAGCTGCAAAACCGAAAGCAAAATGTAAATGGGAAGCGACAACCAGCCTCCTTCCCCCATGCTGCTCCTGCTCTTCCCCACCCACATACTTGTCTCTTAGTCAAGATATTAAAGTTTTCTTAAAAACACACAAGCCTAGGCTGCAATACAACATCAGCCTTTGGGCCAGCAGCTCCAGTCCTGACACCCGCCTGCCCTGCTCTCCAGGGACTGCTAAAGTGTCACCGTCGATGGCATGTGTCTTGTGCCAGCTGCCAGGGCCTCTGCTCTCTGCAGCACCCAGAGCTCCCTGAACTTTTCCCATCTGTGACAGGTGCAAAGGCCCCGAATGCTTCACCCCCAGTCACCCCTGCACCCGCACACCCGCTGCAACAGGGGCAGAGGCCAGTGCTCTCAGGGGTGTCTCTGTGAGGACCATGAATGCTGAGTGCCCCCAGAGGCCGGGGGGGCATGGTAAGCACCCAAGGTGGTGGCGGTCATGTCAGCAGCAGGGGCATGGGGTAGCAAGTGTGGAGCTCCTGCAGGCAGTGACAGCAGTGTCAGCAGCAGGGGAGGGCTGAGTTGGGATCTCCCACAGATGGCTGCAGCAGTGTTGGTGGCAGAAGGGATGGGGGGTGGCAAGCAGTGAGCAGTGACCACCTGCAGGCGCTGTCAGCAGCATCAGCAGCACTTTTTGCAGGGTGTGCACTGCCAAGCTCGGGGTGCACGTGCACCTGTGTCCAACCCCTATGCATCACCACTGGTGAGGACGGTAGGGGCTGGTCACCTGCAAGGGACTGTCCTGAAAACACTGACTGCCCAGGACTGGGTGATCCCCAACTCCTTCTCACTGAGGGTAATAAATATGTCCAGTGTCCCAGAAGCTGAAGGAGGTTGAGGAGAAACTTGGATAACTTTTCTCTTGACCAGAGAAATGTGTGCACAAGGACATTGGATCCACCCAGAGGCTCCAGGGGAGTGGATTCATTCTGAGCTAACCTAGCTCACAATAAGAGGAAGTTAAAGGATGGTGAAGCTTGCTAGCAGCTTATCTGCTACCAAGGACGTGTGTGTGTGTGTGTGTATGTGTGTGTGTGTGTGTGTAGTGATTTTAATGTGGCTTGTTTGAAAGATTTTCATTTATTGTTTCTTATCCATTTCCTATTGCATTTGGACTTCTAAAAAATAATTATTATTCACTGAGGCAAATGTAATGCCAACAGGCCCAAGGCGGGGAAGTGCTGGTGGAGGGGGTGCAGGGAGGGAGGTGGGGGTTCTTGTTAGGATGCTCTGTGCACTGGGTCTCATTGCCGCCACACTGCTCCCCCTGCCTCTGTCCTGCCCACCCAGGGCACCAAGTGCTCCACTTCTACAGGTCAGAGGAGACTCCAGGCCTTGAGCAGGGGAAAAAATGTGCTGGGCAGGGCTGGGATGTGCCCCATGGCAGAGAGCTGGACATGCACAGACCCCAGCCCCAGCCTTGCCCGTGGGAAAGAACCACGGCAGAGACTGCCCGCACGGCCCTGCTCCAGGACCAGCTGCACTGCAGCGGGACAACAGCGGCGCTCCTGGGCAGTGCGGACAGACACAAGGTGTTGCTTTCCCCTGGCTTCAGGAGGTCTAGCAGCAGAGACACCTCATGCCTGATGCGTGGGAGGGAAGGGCAGAGCGGGTGTGGGGGGCAGATGGGGTCTGGTTCAGGGCCAGGGGGGGCTGGGGAGGGGCCTAATGCCCGAAGAGGTTTCTCTCACAGTCCATGGGGCTCCTTTGGGCACAAATACCAAAGCTGCAACAAAGAATAGCATTGCAACCTCTGTGGGGAGAAGGGTCACCTTTTCAGGAAATGCCCGTGGGCAAGAGAGTGCACGGAAAGGCAAGATGAGGAGGAGGATTTCAAGTCCATTACTTCTGAGCCAGGAGTACAGGACAGAACAGAAACAACGAGTGAGGATAAGACTGAACAGGAGGAAAAGTAAGAGGAAACAGAGGAAGAAAGCCTCCCCCCCACCAGATCCAGAGGACAAACCCCTCTTACAAACAGTAGGAAAGAGCACTGAGATGCTAAAGCAACTGGCTGAAAATCCAACAGCCAGAGTAAAGGAATAAGATAAGGTGGAAGCGGGGAAATGATAGAATCGAAGGAGGAACGAGAGGAAACCTCAGGCTCAGGGAGAAAGCCCCCCATGACAAAAACAAAGGAAGGGGAAGGAAGGGAAGAATGCATAAACCCAAGGAACTCCTCCTGCCCATTTTGACCCCCTGAAGGCATACAGATGGAGCCAGGTTAAAAGCAAGAAGCAAAAGAGCAAGAGGAAAGGTCACATAGAGAACAACCACAGAGAAACCTAAGGAAGTCCCCAGGCAGAAAAACCACCAATTCCCAGAGAATAAAAGGAAAAAAGCACCGGGACAGACAATGAGGTTCCAGATGCATGCCCCCCACCCCCTTCCCAACCCTCCTCTTATTCAGGTAGCACAATGAAAAGGATCAACATAGCTTCTGTTAATGTGAGAAGTTTGGTGGGAAAAGGAAAATGGGATCAGGTGTTACAAATCCTGCAACAGATAGAAGAGGACATTTTTTGCTTTCGGGAATGTGGGCTCCCCTGCGTAGAGTTGTTCTGAGGACAATAGAGCAGCAATACTGCTAAAAGAAAACACTGTGTGCCTCCTACAGCACCAAGAAATACTGTAGTTGCAGGCAGGTTGTTACAAGCCTCGCTAGCAGCAAACAGAAGTGCTTTTGAACTGCTTTTGGAGTGCTTTTCATATGGTCGGGGGCTTATAAGACAAGCCCTGTGAGGAGAGCCTGAGGGACCTGGACCTCTTCAGCCTCCGGAAGAGAAAGCTGAGAGGTGATCTTGTGGCCACCTACAAATTCATTAGGGGGATGCGGCAAGGGATCGGAGATGGTCTGTTCACGAGGGTGCCTCTTGGGGTAATAAGAAGCAATGGTCACAAACTGACAGAGAGCAGATTTAGGCTAGATATCAGGAAACACTTCTTCACAGTGAGGGGGGCCAAAATTTGGACTGGGCTTCCAAGGGAGGTGGTGCTCTCCCCTACCTTGGGGGTCACTAAGAGAAGGCTGGCTAGGCATCTGGCTGGGGT